GTCGAACGACCCTTTCACAGGGGTCGCCTAAGACCATCCTGCATATCAGATATTTACATTATGATGCATAACAGTAGCAACATTACAGTTATGAAGTAGCAACAAAAATAATTTTATGGTTGGGTCACAACATGAGGAACTGTATTTCAGGGGCCAGGAGGTTGAGAACCACTCAGTCATTTCAACTTCAGTTTTAGAATTCTTTTGCAATTCAATACTTTCTTTTCTATATAACCTAGTATGGAGCTATTTCTAGACTATTCAGACTTGGGTATATTAACTTTGATTTCCGGTCCTGGACTTACTGGGTTTGCTGTGATCTCCCGCAGAAGGGGACACATACACAGGAGAGGATGAGTCAGGGAGGGTCCACAGTGGGATCAGCTAATGTATCAGAATCAGCCTCTCCCAATGTTCCTGTTTAAAGGACCTTTATCATTGTTCACATAGGGATTCTCCAGGCTCACAGCCCTACACACGAGTCTCCGAATGTGAAACATTGAGCAGGAGAGCTGTTGGTGAGCACAGTTCTAGATCTGACTGCATGACTAGTAGACCACACACCGGCTCATCAACATCACCCTCATGGTCTCAGGATCCAGAAGAATCTTGAGAACTTACCTATGCATCTCGGGGGTTTGGACCACTTTCCATAACTACAGATGACATCTGTAGGACCCCGGAGTTCATAGTAGGCCTGGCATTGGTATCGCACTCTTGACCCTGGAGGGTACCCTTCCAATGGGAAGGAGGTGATGTCTCCATTGCTAACCACTGGAGGAAGCCCACACTTGTCTGCAGATTCTGAAAAAGAGCATTTTAGCTGTTGAAGAACAAATTGTACTTTTATTCTAAACTATTCATGTAAAGCTGCCCAGGAAGTATTGTCCCTCTTTTGCATTTTAAACCTTGTACCCACCATGTGCGCCTCATATTTAGACTTTTCAGCTCTTGGAAAAGGAAATGCTGGAATCAAAATACTTACTAAAGCAGGTTGGCAAGTGGAGCCAGCCGTCCTCACCACACACCATGGAGCCATTGGTGCTTCCATCTCTGTTTTCATAGCCATCCAGGCATTGGTAGTCCAACGTGTCATTAGGTCGAAAAGGTCTTCCAGTGATTACAGCTCTGGTATTCTCAAATATGGGCATGTCACAATGTTCTAAAGCAAAATAAATGTGACCACTTCTAATGCCATATCATGTAGAATCCAACTAAGAAAATCTCATTCTGGCAATACTAAACTTTACCATCAGAGTGTGAGTCTTAGAGAAAGACTGTAGTCCTTGGATATATGATCCATGTATTTATATAAAACACCCTCTTTTCCCTAATGATTCCCAGAATTGAAAGTTTATCCACATTGATTTTTTAAAATGAATGGCAAAGTGTACAGCTTTTTCACTAAAGGGAGACCCTGAAATGAAAAACAATGTTTAAAAATGTAAGAAGTCTTATCTCCTGGTGTTCTTTTAAGGCAATCTTCCCACCTTCTGTTGCATATGGGTTAGTTTTTTCTTGAAAACAGTCTTATTTTTTTAATATCTGCAATTGTTCTTAGTCCTCAATGGTTATTGAGTGAATTAATGGTAAGTATTTCAACCCGTGAACCGGGTGTAGGGAAAGCTGGACAAAGAGAGTCCTTTAGGGGCTCAGGCTGTTGCTTCGCACGGGCTCAGTAGATTCCTGAATTCCCAGTTCAAATCAGTGATCACTGCTTTTCTAAAACATGCAGGGCTCCAATGAAAGGTCAGCTCTACTATATCCTGATGTATAAACAATGTCTGTAATAATTATCCTTCATTTCTAAACAACATCCTCAGAACAACTTACAGAACCCCATGTGAAAGCCAGATATAACTGCATATGAGTCCTCATTTATAACCATGTAACACAAATACATGCAATCATATGTGAAATGGCTGACAGTGATATATATGTGACATTGGGCATGCGGTATATTTATTTTTTAATTTACTTAAAATTTTTAATTTAAATTCTTCTTCAATGAACACATGCTATATGTGACTCCAATCTCTGTTTCATTTAACATTATTTTGTGCCATTCATGACTTACTGCTCACTGTTACTTAATTCCATAAAGTAACAATCTATTCGCTATCAAAAATTTAAAACTTTTCAAACACAATCTTCCATTAGAGATGATAGCAAACCCAGTACGTGGCAGGGCCAGAAACCAAAGTTAATATGCCCAAGTCAGAATATTCTAGAAATAATAGCTCCCGACTAGGCTTTATATTATCTAGAAGAGGAAGTATTGACTTTCAAAGATAAAAAGTCAGAATATTCTAGAAATAATAGCTCCCGACTAGGTTATCTAGAAGAGGAAGTATTGACTTTCAAAGATAAGTTCTAAATGTCCTGTTCAAATGACTGAGTAGATGGACAGGTCTAAGTCATGTTTGAAGGCAAAGAAGACTTGGCACATTCACCTTGAGAGTTGACACACAGAACTTTCCACAGCGATACGTCTGGTCTTAGAAAAATCCCAAATGGACTGGATCTTCGGGCGTTTACTTACTGATGCATCTGGGAGGCGAGGACCAGCCATTCTCCGTACATGTCACTGCGCTCTGTGAGTTCGGGAGACTATAGCCCGGACGGCAGTCAACTTTCATAGTATCGCCTTGTAAATATGTTTTTACTTTAAATGGAAACTGTTCAAGTTCCGAAGCATTGTAAACACATTTCCCTGAGAATTATAAAATGATGATAAAAAAGAATAATTTTGGTCAAAATAAAGAATTGAAAAATCACCTTCACAATATTAGAATCCATAAGCATCCCAACATGCAGCTTAAGAAAAACTAGTGTTGCTAGTAAATTTTTTAAAAAAGGAAAGCCACATATTACAGATTATTTATCTATAATTTTCACAATTAAACTATGAATAAATGATACCGATATTGTTATCAAGTCCTTTTTGTATCTCCCATGTTTTTAATGAGGGACCTATTATAAAAGAAAATACCTATATTGGTCTTTTTGCTCATAAAACGCTTCCCTTGACTGTATTTTTCTCACAAAGGCTTAGGGGTGCTCAGGTTTTGCTCTCTGAACTCTGGACTATTGCTACATACACAGGATAGAGAGGTTCACTCACTGCGGCAGGGCACTTTCGGGAACCATCCTTCTGGTGTGCAAGTAATTATCCCCAGAAAAATAGTGAATGTCTGACATAGTTTTTGTCACAGCTATAGGGAAGCGATTGTCCTACCGATGCTGGAAAGTGTGGTCTAGTGCTACCTTCCCAATATAGGCGTCCATGTTTTATTTCTGGAAAGTCACAGGGCTTAGCTAGCAAGTAAAACAAACAAAACACAGTATGAATAATGTTCTACATTCATAAGAACCAAATGAGAGATAAATTGTTTCATTGGTGAATTATATTTCTTTCTTCACATACTAATAATATTCATTGCATTAGGGTTTCTAGGTTAAGGAAAGTTGCAATTCAGGTGATGTAAATAACACTAGTTTCCTGAACATTTCACAAAGATACAAAAATGAAATCATTGGGGTGTATATGTGAAACTAACACAACACTGTAGGTCAATATTATCTACATAAATAATCATTTTCCATGTCATTGTTATGCACACTGAGGCCTGTGTCACGGTGGTCATGGCCTCCTCTTTAAGGCACCTGACTGTCCACATTCATTTGGCCTTGGCCTTGAATGAACCCTGAGCCATTGACCTGTTATGTGCATCATTTCATTTTTCACTCTGCATGGAGTAGGGTTCGGTATCTGAAAGTGGAGCCGCACAACAAATGAGAGAAAAAAACACGAGATAATTTTGCAATATTGGGGGACCAGGCGGGCAAGTCCCGAAGGACTTCACAAGGAGCAGCAATGAGATTGTAGAGACAGAAAACACTGGAAAAGGGGCAGCCCCCCAGGAATAAAGTGCCCTGTGGACTGAGGGGCGTGTGTGACAGGTGGGGCTTTAGAAAGTGCACAATGTCTCCCACATTCATCCCCTCATACAAGGGAGCCCCGGGCCCCTCCCTTGAGTGAGGCTGGACTGAGGGGCGCTCTTCTGAAGAGGTCACATGGCTGAGGGGACCGTGTGACCAGGTCATCAATGCTCTGGAGGCATCTCCAGGGCCCTCAGGTCATCGCTCTGGGGAGGGTGACCTGCCTTCAGGCCGCCGATGGAGACGCCCAGGTGGACGGCTGCGGAGGCTCCTGCACTCGCCCTGGGAGTGGGCCCCTTGGAAGCAGGTGCTGCAGCCCAGCCCTCTCCCCCCACAACCTGGGCAGTGTGAGGTCTCATCCGATAATTGAATGGATACCCCGTCCCCTGGGAACTGATCTTAGACCACTTCACAATGGACATTCCCTTCCCCTTAGACCTCATTCCACTTGCTGAGATCATTCTCTCTCCCCTCTGGACTTTCCCAGAATCCGAACCGCCCGGGGAATTCTCCTTCCAGTAAAAGCCCCCATAGAGTCCTTTAAAACATCTGACTCCCTGTCCCTGGGGGCTGGCGCCAATTCGGGATTCAGCCCATCTGACATCCCGATGACCTAATACATTTATAATCCCTCACCATGTGGCCTCCTGCGTTCCTCCTTCGGGACCCTAACAAGGAGCATCCCAGGGAGCAGCAGGGAGTGATTCAGAACTGGGCAGTGAAGCGGCTCCCAATCCTGACCCTGCCAAGGCTGACACATAGGAGTCTGTGGTTCTGAGGCCTGGGAGCCGGCTTCTTGGCAGCACATGCTGCAGCCCAGCCCTCTCCCCCCACAACCTGGGCCGCATCCCAGGGAGCAGCAGGGAGTGACTCAGAACCAGGCAGCTAAGCGTCACCCAAATCCTGACCCTGCCAACGCTGACACATGGGGGCTACTGTTCTGAGGCAGTATGTTCAGGGGAGTTTGTTATATAGAAACCAATTACTATTCTACTCCGTGTTAAGTGGTAGTGCTCTTACCCAATACCCTAGGTCAGATATTAGAATTATATTATCTGGACACACACACACACACGCACACGCACATACTTAACATTGAAGCCAAATTTAAAAAGGTTTTTCACTTACAAAGATGGGACATTGTCCTTAGAATTGGCGACTTTGAAAAGCAAAGAACGCCCGTCAGTCCTCTGCTTTACCTTCTCATTGAGGCAATGACCGGGTTTCCCAGGCCCCATTTCTTGGTGTTTAAGGGAAGGAATTTATAACGAAGAAGCAGGTCAAGACCTCAATGGGACTTACGGACACATCTGGGACGAGGTACCCAGCCTACACGAGTGCATTTTGTGGTATTTCTCAGAAGGGGAGGATAGAAGCCATTTCTGCATTGGTATGTGATGACATCATCAAGTCCGTATTGGTTCATTTTAGAAGCAAAGTCACTGTTTGGAATTATTGGAGGATCACGTTATTTCTGAAAAGAAAAGGACACGTGGATTATGCAGAAATCACTACCCTTGAATATAATCATTATATAAGAATCCATTGGCTGCCACTTCTTGTTCCTACCAACTAGCAAAGTGGCATTAGAATGAGCAGAGTCTCCATCCTTCCCCTCATGACTCATTTCCCTCCCGCATTGCTCATCTGGAGCATCTGTGCCTCTTGTGTCTTGAATCCTCTTTCCCCAAAGCCATCACTTCCATCATGATATTCCATATGCGGCAATGACCTCATCATACATGCCTTCCTCTGCCCTCAACTCCCTGGGGTTGTGAAGTTCTGATAAGGACGGTTCACACTTATTCTGAGCCTCTTTCTGCCAGGCTCCTGGTAGTGTTGCCCCCCGGGACCCTGGAAGGTTTGCTCTAGGATCGCTCCCAGACATCCTACTCAGAGATGCTCGACTCCTTCCTGTGAGTGACTGGGGTGCTTTCCCCTGGGACACCAGGGAAGTTTGCTGTGTTGTGATCATTGTTACGTAAGGAAATTGCCCAAATTAAACACTAAAAAAACCCCAGCACATAACAAATTATGAAATTGTGGACAGTGATGCATAGTCTACTCACAGCTGGTATTTGATAAGACATCATGGGCTCTCTCAAGTTCTAATTTATGATAACTCAAACATGAGAGGACTGGCCTTAGCCGGTTTGGCTCAGTGGATAGAGTGTAGGCCTGGGGACTGACGGGTCCTAGGTTGGATTCCAGTCAAGGACATACGCCCAGATTGTGGGCTCGATTTCCAGTAGGGAATATGCAGGAGGCAGCGGATCAATGGTTCTCTCTCATCATTGGTGTTTCTGTCTTTCTCTCCCTCTCCCTTCCTCTCTGAAATCAATTTTAAAAAAAGTGAGAATAGATGTTAAAATAAATGACAGAGAAAAATTATAATGAAGTTTTTGTAAATTTAATAATACCAGTGCTTTTAAAAATGTTTAAAGTCTCAACATTTGTTCATAGTCTTAGAAAACAAAATAAAATTCAGCGAGATTACACTGGAAATTAAATATATATTTCTTTTTTTTAAAGAAATTTGTTACATATAGCTGTTAATGTTAAAATATTAAGTTGACAGTAACATTAATGACCTATAATAACTTTAAAAAGTTAAAATGTATGAGACTAAACCTTTTACAATGTATAATCTGATGGTTTGACATAATTATCTATAAAATCTTCATCATATGCAAAATTATGAAAATATCCATGCCTCTCCAAATTGTCTTGTATTGGGAATAAGAGTCCCCCAGCAATTCTGGAGCAATGTTAAAATATTAAGTTGACAGTAACATTAATGACCTATAATAACTTTAAAAAGTTAAAATGTATGAGACTAAACATTTTACAATGTATAATCTGATGATGGTTTGACATAATTATCTATAAAATCTTCATCATATGTAAAATTATGAAAATATCCATTCCTCTGCAAATTGTCTTGTATTGGAAATAAGAGTCCCTCAGCAATTCTGGAGCGATAGTCGAGCTTTTCTGTGACGTGTTCTAGTCATGGCCTCATGAACATCGTCACATGACTCCCTAGTCCCTGTGGGGTGGCTCTCACACTGTGGAACTCAGAGGACAGCAAACAATCTGCTTTCACTTCCCCTGAGGTGAGTATGTGATAATTATCCCATCATGATTATATATATGTATTTTCTCTCTGGTTTATTTTAACCTGCCAACTCAATACAGTACTGTTAATTGTTAAGAACTGAGGTGCCACTGGGCTGCCGGGTCACTGTCTCCATGCGAATGGTGAATGTTGTGACCTTAAGACACAAAGTTTCTACCAACAAACTCATTAAAAAAACAAAGACAGCCCTGGCAGGTTTGCTAAGTGGTTAGAGCAAGGACCCAGGCACCTAAGCATCTCAGGTTCACGCCTGGTCAAGGGCATGTACCTGGGTTGCATGTTGGGTCCCAGCCCTGGTCCGGGCTTATGAGGAAGGCAACCAATCTATGTGTCTCTTTATATCCATATCTATCTATCTATCTATCTATCTATCTATCTCATCTCCCCTTCTCTCTGTCCCTTCCACTCTCTCTAAAAATCAATGGAAAAGATATCCTCAAGTGAGAATCAACAAAAATAAAATAGAGAAATTAAGAAGGATTAAATCCTACTTAAGAAGGAGCTAAATATTCCCATCAGTTTCAACTCACCTTGTCCACGAGCCCAGGAGACCCACAGGGTGAGGATGACCGTGACTAGGAACTGCATGGTGGGCTCCCCGGGTGTGTTAGCACAGAGAGTCCAGCGCTGCTGTTTGGGGTTTAAATCCGCTGTAGTTACCTAGAGTGGCTCTGAATTTAAGTGAAATAAAGGGAAGCTAGTTTACACAGGTCACTTAGTAAATATCAAAGTGCAAAAAGCTTTGCAAAACCCCTCAGTTTTCATTAATAATCAACTACCATTTGATTGCCCAAAATGGATATTATAAGCCCTAGATCAACTAGAAAAAATAGATACCTAATAACTAACAAATGGTATGAAATTAAATGCTAAAAGCATAGACTAATGTAAAAGGATGAAGAGGATTCTAAAGAATACTAGCAAAAGTGGCACAAATTAGAATTGGCAAATGGCATAAATAAATCCATCAGTAGTCATTATTGATGGTAAATCACAATGACAAGCCAATAAGAAAGAAGATGAAGTAGAATTGAACAAAGAGAAAAACCAATTATGAGCTGTTTCCCTAAAGACTAATATAAATATTAAAAAATGGCCAGTTGAGACTGCCCGGTATGGCTCAGTGGTTGAGCATTGACCTATGAACCAGGAGGTCACAGTATGATTCCTGGTTTCATTATTGATGGTAAATCACAATGACAAGCCAATAAGAAAGAAGATGAAGTAGAATTGAACAAAGAGAAAAACCAATTATGAGCTGTTTCCCTAAAGACTAATATAAATATTAAAAAATGGCCAGTTGAGACTGCCCGGTATGGCTCAGTGGTTGAGCATTGACCTATGAACCAGGAGGTCACAGTTTGATTCCTGGTTAGGGCACATGCTTGGGTTGCGGGTTCGATTCCCATTAGGGGGTGTGCAGGAGGCAGCCGATCAGTTAAAATATATTTAATTTATTCCTTCTCATCATTGATGCTTCTATATCTCTTTCCTTCTCCCTTCCTCACTGAACTAAAAAAATAATATATTTTTAAAGTGACTAGTTGAAAGCAAAACACTGGAAAATGTAAACTTTGTAAGAACGAAGTCTGTGTAAGGTGAGTGGTTATGGTAATATTAGAAAAAATAATATTCAAAAGAGAAACACCAGAGACCAAGGCAAGGGGGAAAACTGCATGAATTCTGTAAG